AGTCCTAGCAACAGACCTTCTAGGAGATACAACAGACTGAATACAAAAAAAGAAAGGTCACCATAATGCCAGGATAGGGTGACACATTTCCAAGGATGCTGGATTGACAATGAAATGCAAAACCAACTCAAATACAGCAGGGATATGAGGTGGATAGAGTGGAACTACATGGTCATTCAGTCACACTAAAGGATAGTAACTGGTTTGGTATTGACCTGTCATGCCACCTAGGTATTTACTGGGTAGCCTCAAATGGAACCCAATGGTTGTGTGACACAAATAGTTGTCTGTGACTTCCACGGGGATGATTGGGCCACTACATCCTGGGTTTTCCCTGGACACAGGAGAATCTGCCCCAAGGTAACAAGAATTGCCAACCTTCCTCACCTTTAAGTTAGATGGGCATATTCTGTTTTCCACTGGTACGTTCATTTGGCCACCATATTCATTCCATCCTTGTCCTAGAGGATGGTATAGCACATATAAAGTCTTACTAAATTCACCCAATGAACCTTAAATGATAACTGACAAAGCCTGGGCTTACTGAACACTAAAATGTCTCTATGAGAAATGCTGTCCTCCAAAATAAATTGAGCTTGGACATTATTACTGCTCCACAAGGAGATACCTGTGACATTATCCAAACAGAATGTTATGTATTCATACTTGATGAGTCTGCTAATGCATTGTCTTTATTAAATCACATAAAAACTCAAGTGAATGTACTGAGCAATTTGCTATCCAGTCTAAGAGATTTAATATATCAATGGTTCATTCACATTATGGGGCTCTCTGTTAAAAAAAAACCCCACTTATTTTAAAAATCATTATCTTAATCTATGTTTCTCTTGCATGTGCCCATATTTTTTGCTGTAGTATCTGCCTCCAGTGTAGCCAGATAGCCATCAAACAATTAACCTCCATGCTAATAAAACCCAGGGTGTAGTGGCTGCTCAGGCACATTACAAAAGGGGGGCATTTAAGTCTTAACAGCCAGTCATCATTAAGCAGTCATGCCCACTGTTTGACCCAAAAGCTGGACCTGGGCAATCAGAAATTCCTCACACCCTGTGCTATCTTGGAATGTACCATTCTGCCCACTGTAGCCACAGTGGGAGTACTTTCAAGGAAGCAGCCTTGAGAGAGCAATGTGTTATTGCGACCACATGGACAACATGTAGGACTGAACCCTAGATAAGGCCTGTATATAAATGTTTAAGATTCTAGCATGTGGGTGCAGAGATGGACTTATCTTTTGGTTGCTTGAATATGTAACTTTTCTTTTTTTTTCTTTTTTTTAAGATTTTATTTATTTATTTTTAGAGAAGGAACGGAAGGAGATAGAGAGAGAGAGAGAGAAACATCAATGTACGGTTGCTGGGGGTTATGGCCTGCAACCCAGGCACGTATCCTGGCTGGGAAATGAATCTGCAACACTTTGGTTAGCAGCCCGCACTCAATCCACTGAGCTATGCCAGCCAGGGCAAGTATGTAACTTTTCTTGCTTATTAAAAACCACCACCTACCAACCTGGATATGACCTGTCTCTCTCCTATCTCTCCTTGCCCTCTGCTCATGGAGGCCAGTTTCAGATTTTCATCAGGAAACTCCCAAATTTGTGAATCAATAATATTTTTCTAAAATAGAGATTTTTTATTTGTATGTTCCATTAATATGGTTAAATAATCTGAATCTAAGAGAAATTAAGTGACTTGGTCAAAGTTAAATAAATACCAGTGTCAGAATTAAAAACTGAATTCTGATTTTCTCACTTTAAATATCCTGGTCTGTCCACTTTCTTCTTGGTGTTAGAGAAGCATTGAGTACACCCCATTTTTAATTGGATTTTTTTGGTGTTGAGTTTTGTAAGTCTTTTACAAAAAATACAATTGAAAAATGGACAAAGGATCTAAATGAACACTTCTCCAAGGAGGCCAATGGACATATGAAAAGATGCTCAATGTCACTAATCATCAGAGAAATGCAAATTAAAACTGCAATGAGATATCACCTCACACCTGTCAGAATGGCTATCATCAATAAATCAACAATCAGTGTTGATGAGGATGCGGAGAAAGGGGAACTCTCATGCTCTGTTGGTGGGAATGCAGACTGGTGCAGCTTGTACAGAACAGACCCAGGGAGGGAGGGTGAACAATATACCATTACCTAAAGGACCCCCCTTTTGCTCTGGGGATCCTCCCCCACCCCATACTAGGTTCACCTTGCTGGCCACCAGGGGAAAGATGTCTCTCAATGCCAGATATTGGTGATAAAGAAAGGAATTATTTAAAAGTTATACGGACTTAGAGTAATGACTTAATGTCTTCATTAAAATACTAAAGTCCTTTAGAATACCACAGACACACACAGTCCTTCCCTCTTCCCAGTCTGGGGTACTGTATCTCAGGAAAAGAAGTAGAAGTCCATGATTCAGGTTCCTGGCACCATCAGCTGTGCTGCCGCCATGATCTCCAGTTAATCCAAAACCATGTGGCACCTTCTCATGGCCCACCAGCAAGAGTCCTTTCACCCCTTTTCTTCCAGGAAAAATCTCTCCTGCTTCCCAAGCCATGTGGCAAAAGGGAGCACCCCAAAGCCAGATGGTCCTGACTCCCACCAAAGCTGAGTGGTCCCAACATAGGCATGGTTGCTGTTCCGGGTTTAAATACCAGCACCAATCTTCCTCTGCTGCACCATTTCCAACTCCTCCCACAATCAGTTACACCTGTCAGCATTCCTGTATTCATCCAGTTTTACTGGGCTGCCATAGTAAGTCCAGGCAGGTGTGGCCCCATGGCATGGAGCCAATCATCTCCCAGCTCTCACACAGGTGCTGTAACTAGGGGGAGTTGCCTCCTAGTTACATCTTGGATGGAAGTGACTTCCATTCCCCTGATTCAAAGCATAGCCACAGCTATTTAACATATCCATGAAACCAGTTAAAGATATGTTAAATGATCATGCCAGAGATTAGCTGCAAAGCTGTTGCTATACAAAATAGTACTCAGTGGCCCTGCTCCATATGTCCCATACCCCAGCTCAGACTTGTGGGGGTGAGGACATCATATATATATATATATATATATATATATATATATATATATATACGCACTAATATTTCCTGGACATCCTGAGTTCTGCACCCCATTACAAATCCATATTTGTCCACCCCTGGCATGCACCCTGTTACACCACCACTGTGGAAAGCAGTAGGGAGATACCTCAAAAAATTAAAAATGGAACTGCCTTATTACCTAGTGATTCCATTTCTAAAATTTTCTCCAAACAAATCCAAAACACTAATTCACTCAGATGTTCTTTGAAGCATTATTTACAATAGCCATTATTTGGGAGCATCCCAAGTACCCATTCATAGATGAGTGAAACAAGTGGTGATACATTTATACAATAGAATTCTACTCAGCCATAAAAAAGAGGTCAGCTTTACCCTTTGCAACAGCATGGGTGGTCCTAGGGAGCATTGTGTTAAATGAAGTAATCCAGTCAGAGAAAAACAAGTACCATATGATTTCACTCATATATGGAATCTAATGAACAAACTGAACTAACAAGCAAAACAGAGACAGACTCAGAGAGAGCTAACAACTCTGAGTGGGGTGTTGAAGGGAGAGACTGAGCAAAAAGAGAAGAAAAGAAAAAGAACGCATGAACACAGACAATAGGATGGGATGGCAAGGAGGGGTGGAGGTGGGAGAAAGTATGGGGGGATAGATATCATTGGAAAAATTAAATAAAACAAAATAAAACTTTTTAAAGAGGCACGTTCTGGAATGACAATTGGCAGTGAGTTCTAGGGTCAATATGATTTCAGGAAGGAGAGTCCTAGGGAAATTAGATTAACCAGTAAGGACATACCATCCTTAACTTGGGCCTTATGTACCAAATATATTTTTAAAGATTATCTTTATGTGTGCCAAAGATTTCAAGCCACTACAAGCTATTATACAGATTCTAATGTAATTGGTTTGTGTGACAAAAGATTGTGATTTAATGTTCTCATATATTTGGATGGGAAGCTTTTGCTTTTGTGAATATCTCGCAAATCTCATAAAACCCAGCAAAGACTGGACATCCAAGAGCTTATTTCTTGAACTCCGTGGTTCAGTGAACATGCATAGCCTATAATTATTGTTGAGACCCCCTCCAAAAAATAAAAGATATATCTTGAATTGGTTGAATTTGACACAGATGGGCAAATAACAGCGTGTCAAAAATGATGCCCTTTGGATCCTTTATTTTATTTTTCTTCTTAAGTCAGGCGACACAAAGAATCATTCAGTTAGACCAAAAGCTCTTCAGAAGATTTCAGACTGCTTAGGAAACTGCCAGAGAGGACACACCAATGTGAGAGCCATAGCCAGAACCACACAGAACCACATGTGCTGGATGGGTACCTTCCTTACCTCCAGATGGCAGCATGGCCCTAGGTTATGTTCTCTGAAGTTCTAATGCTACCTGTCCAAGACCACAAGAACTTACTAACTGGGGTACCTCTTTGTGGGTCCATCATGCATGAGACAGAAACACCACGTTTGTGAATTGGAGGTGGCTTCTTGGCTTCCCAAGTCAATGGGCAGAGCCTCCTGACAGCATGTGAACATGTTTGGGCCAACTGAGGGTAGTAGAGACTTAGGTTTTACGCCCTTGCTAGAAGGCAAAGAAAGAGGAAGTTTCCTCAGTGCTTAGCAGGCTGCTCCTCCCCCTACTAAATTTTTAACCACATATTTCCCCCATTAAATCAAAATTGATCATACCTATAGAAATGTGTATTGTCTGCAAATTGAAAATCTCATTGAAAAATAGCAATATTGGTGATTATACAAGGCAATTTCATCAAATCAAGTAATGATGTGATGTGTGTGGTTAACCGTAGCTACGCAGGAAGTGGTTTTATTTAAAAGTTTTTGAGCTCACACCCAACCCCTCCTTTTCTTTTTTTTTCTTCAGTACTGAAATTAAGCAGCATCCAGCATAGGCCCACTCTTATGACATGTGACTTCACTGTTTTCCGTTTTTGTTGAAAGAGTCATTAACAGTTAGAAGTTGATGGCAGTTTCAATAACCAGTATCACAGAGAAAAGGTGAGTTTTAACTTTATATCGAACATGAAATTTAAACTTGAAAACACTTAACAGATTATCCTAAACTTTGGTGTTGGCTTACAAATAATTCTATAAAAATGTAATGTTTTCACCTGTGATTGAAACATCAGTTTGTTTCCTCTGGTGTAGGAAAAAATATTCATATTTGCAGCTGTCAATTCTCAACTTCTTTACTGATATATTATACTAGGACAATTTGCTCAAATGTTACATTAAAATATTAAAGACAAAGTAAGGTTTAGTTTTAGTTTGAAAGGTACTTTTAGAAATAACTACTAGAGAACATGTGAAAATTTGCATCTTTAACTGATTGTTTTATAGAAATATGTACTATTTGAGATCAGAGAACAAAAGGTAAAAAAGGTATTTTCTAACAATAAGAAATAACATCTGGATTGCAATGAGAAAGATACCCATCGCAAGGTGTGGTATTAAATTTAGCACTGGAAACCCTTGAAAGGGTGTACTGTAGGCTATTAAATAGCTATTAAAACACAAGAACATTTAAAATGCAAAATAAAGCTGTCTATCATGATATTTAAATACATTTTTTTCTAGATTTTACTTAAGATCTAAAGTGGAACAAGGGCAAGTTTTATTTCATGTGCAAAATTGTGTGTTTAAAACAGAAGTCACAGCTGGCCTCATGGGAGGTTACTTCTGGGAAAAGAGGCAAATTAGAGAAATAGTTCTGTTATTTATGTAATTATATAATTTTCCATACTTGAGATTTTCCAAAATAAAAACTCTAGAAATGAAAAGGTTTTCTTAATCATAAAGTGACAATAACTTTTTTAATATTGATTTCTAGCTTTTATACATTTGTGTGCAGTAACATATGTACAGAAAATATAAAAGGATTGCTAATCACAGAAACAAATACATAAAATAAATCTGACTGTAGATTTTTGAAAGAATTTTAATAAAAGCTCAAGATATGATCCACTCTTCCCTAATATTATTTTTATTGTGCTGCTGGATGGGGGAAGTGATGGCCCCCACAACACCAATTTTTTGTGTAATTAAAAATGGTTACAGGGTTGATAATTGGAAACAATTTTCTTTTCTTTTACTGTCTTCTTTTGAAAGACACTTGTAAATGTATTTTGATATAGTCAATTTAGCAGGAAATTTTTAGGCATACTAATGGTCTCCATTTTAAGGCCTCTTCAGTTGTCAATACTGAAGCTAGCTACTTGTTAACTTAAAATGATCATAAAAATAGAGATTAAGTCCTGGTGTTCAATACATTCTTTATTGTTACAGTGTAAGAAAATTCTGGTAATGTGTATTTGCTTTCATATACTGATTAGCTTTTTAATTTGTTGCATTACCTCACAATGGAAAACACTATTTAAATCTGTCTTCAATATTGTGGTTCTGAACCTCTGTATCTACCGAAGCTGTGTAATTCAGATAGTTTGCATTGATATGTTATTACTTTATTGCATTTTATTATAAAAGAGCATCACATGAATAAGCATATGCAGTACTCACACATTAGAAAAAATGAATATCCACATAAGCATTTGGTACTGAAAAAAAAGTTTAGTATAGTTTTTTAAAGTATGTAATATTTTAAAAGCCAAATTCTCTGTAAAACAATTGTTTCTTACAGAAACAGTTAAATTAACATAAAAACATTGTATGGAGTACATGTAAACTTAAGACTTAATTAAACATATATTAATATGGATTTATAAAGAACAACAAGTGAGGCTTATAGACACGTAAAGGAAACTGTGCTCAGAATTGCTTGGAAAAACAGTAATGCATTCATTCTCTCTTGAATGTACAGACCAAATCTTAAAAAGCAATTCCAAATGAGTTGGTGTAGGTTGACATACCTTTATACCTTGTAAATGAATAAATAAGAAACAAACTTTGGTGAAACAAAAACGGTGCAGAGGATCTCATTTGGAGAGTTATTTCAAAGCTGATTTATTAAAAGAATATCATGCTTTTCCACTTGGGGCCAGCAATCAGCAATATTAAGAAAGGAAACATGTTTTCATTGATATTCCTCCTCTTCTTTTTTATTGTTCTGTTCTGGAGTGACCTACTCTATCCCTAATTTTAAGTGCTCCAACCTTGGGACCTAGAAGGATAGACCCTGGTTTCTCCTTCCATCTCACTCCCATTGTCCTTAAAACTTGTGCATCCTATTTCTCAGTATTTAGAGCATCTGACACAAAGAGCCCAGACTCACAGGAGAGGGACACAGAATTTTGTGTCTCTTAACTTTTCAACCAGGCCTCCCCTATTCCTCTGAGTAAAATTTTACTAAGGTCTCTCAGCAGACAAGATCCATAAGAACAGACAAATGTTGAGGGCATCAGTCTCAAGTGAGGCAAATAGAGAGGTATATTTTATGATGAAAAATGCATTTTATTAACTCGTTGGCTCTGCTTTTGGTATTTAAGCCTAGAATTCTGACACCATCTTGTAGAAAGGGATCATCAAAGAGATGTGTCCATTGCTCTAAGATATTCCTGAAGAGATATTCACATTTCTCATAGTAGATGAAAATTACTAGCATTATATCTTCAGACACTTTTGGTATTTCCACAACCTTAGAAAATATTTAACATAATCAATTGCTTTATATGTTTGAAAAAAATAGATGAACCTGGAAAATATGCTAAGTGAAATAAGCCAGTCAGAGAATGACAAAAACCATATGATTTTACTCATATGTGAAATTTAATGAACAAACTAAATTAACAAGCAAAATATAGACAGGCTCATAGGTAGAGAGCAAGCTGACAGCTCTGGGGGTCAGGGGTTAGGAGACACAGGGATTGAGCAAAAACAAAAAAAGACTCATGGACACGGACAACAGTGTGGTGATTTCTGGGGGGGCAGGTGGAGTTGGAAGAGAGGATACAAGAAGGATACATGGTAATGGAAAAAATACAATGATAAAAAATTATTTAAAAAATAATTTACTATCCTAAATTTAACTCCTTGAGTAACAGAAACATAGAGACATTTTTTTTTGCTCTGCAAAATAATTTTATATAACAATACTTTAAAATGTACTTATAAATATTCTCAATTCCAATTTGTAGTTGACTATTAATTACAAAATATAAAAAATGAGTTAAAATTAGCCTAGGCAATAGAGATATGCAATGATTTATACAACTGAAAATCCAAGGAAAGCAGAGTCAGGCATGGGTGAATCTAAATGTTCACATGTGGTTATAAGGTTTTATTTTCTTTATTCTTTAGCTCATTTTTCACTGTGCTAATGCAGTTTCTGGCAGAAACTCACACTAAATTGACAAGAAAGCTTTAGCTTTACATCTGAGCCTTTCAGCAATCTCTGTTGCAAAAGAGTATTTTCCCTTTGTCACATAAAAGGTCTCAAATTGAGATCTGATTGGACTGAATTGTGTCGTGTGACCATAGCTGAGCCATCATTGATTCCAGTAGATTCCCTGAGTGATCAGGTCTAGGTCACAGGCCCACTCTTGTCCTAAGGAACCACCTGCCCTTGCAACACATGGACTCTTAGCAGAAAAGAGGAGCCCCCACCTTGCAGAAACTAAAATGTTTTCCCCAGAAGAAAGGTGACTTTATTTATAGGAGAAAGCCACAGAACTCTACATAATAGCCACATATAGTCTCATTTAAAATCATCACTTACTCGCCCTGTCTGGCGTAGCTCAGTGGATTGAGCGTGGGCTGCGAACCAAACCATCGCAGGTTCGATTCCCAGTCAGGACACATGCCTGGGTTGCAGGCCATGGCCCCCAGCAACCGCACACTGATGTTTCTCTCTCTCTCTCTCTCTCTCTCTCTCTCTCTCTCTCTCTCTCTCTCTCTCTCTCCCTTCCTTCTCTCTCTAAAAATGAATAATAAAATCTTTAAAAAAATTTTTTAAAAATCATCACTCAAATTGTCCAAATTCTATAATAAGAAAGAAATATAGTAGCAGTTTAAAAGTAGGTTTGAATGGCACAAGTGATTCAATTAAATAGAAATCAAAATATTTTTAACGAGCTGCTCCATGTATGAACCACCTCCCCACAGTGTCTTCTAAAAGCTTATGATCTAGTATCACTGTTATATTAATAATTGTAACACAAATAAAATGTGCTATATATGATAAAAAGATACCAGAAATACTCTATTAGGGTTAAGAGAAATTCATCTAACATTTCTGTACATGCAATAAACTAGAGAATTTTGCAGGTGTTGCATCATTTGATCATATCCTATCAGAAAAATCAGGATTGCCTTGGAGAAAACCTTTGGAGTAGTTTTCAGACAAAGTGAGGACTGGGGAGATAAGAAACTTTCCAAGTGACATGAAGGGAATGTGTCAAGACACAAAAGCATGGAGGAATATCAGAAAATTGTCAAGGAAGAGTGGATTGTCTCATTTTGTTAGGTAGAAGTATGGTGGTAGAAGGTAAGAACAGAAAGAGAGTTTGAGATCCGAATAGAGTGAACCAGCTGAACAGACTGTAACTAGGGATAACAGGGTTGTTGAGCAGGGAAAATGCCTATTTGAATATTCACATTTTCTTTCTCAGTGAGTTGTCTAGCATCAGGATTTTGTTGCTTCTTCCATATGCTTCATTGTGACAAATGCTTCAGGGTGGCTTATAGAAACAGTTGCAATCTGTGGAGGGAGGTATTCGGTAAGCTCAACTCCTCAGGGAGCTTTAAGTTCTTACACAGGCCATGGCATTTTTTTTTCATTTTATGAAAGTCATTTCTATAATGTTTTGCTTGTTTTTAATGTGAGAATAAGTAATAGATTGAAGTCATTCAAAATCAAAATAAAAACTAAATATAAGACTTTTAGAGAAAAAATTTTCTCACATTCTTATTTTTATATATCCATTCAACCTCACCTTAATGTAACAGACAAGCACATTTTTTAACCCTTTACCTTTCCTGTGTACACATACTTGTGTTATACATATCTTCTTTTATTATATATTGAAGGTAGCATACTATACATG